GGCGGCAGGGAAAGCACGGCGAGGAGACGCGGGTGGGTGCGAGAGGGTAGAGGGTCCGTGGGGCAGCCCGTGAAAAGCCGGTGACAGCTCTAACTATTGCAGATTTTCATCTTTGTGCTTTTAAACTCGAAGAAATAATGCAAGGGTAATTCATTTTTATTAAGCATCGACTGCCTTTAGCAACTCTGAAGCTTTTGGAATAGATAAACTTTTAGGAAACACCCTGGGCGCTTTATTGAACTCAAGCGGTGCGGCAGTCTGCAAAGTAACGATGCCTGGTGATGCTGCTGCTTTGGCAAAACACAGTTGTGGCTTTTAGTCCTTACTAAACCTTGAGTTGCCTTATGTTGCCTTAAGTTCGCTTAAGACACTGAGAGTGTTTTGGTGTGATGCTCTGCAGACCCTTCCAAATCCGACGTGACCACTGTCTGAACACCTGGAGCACCTGCCTTTGGGCAGCATCTCTGCAAGCCGGAATTTAACCCCCTCACACAGTGCATCCAGTTCCCATTTTCCAATCAAGTGCTCCAATCACTCTCCTGTCATGCAGCACTTACGCAATCTCTCCTATTTATGGTTTATTTTCTGCAAAAGACAGGGTATGTTTTGCTCATGTTTCTATGCACCAGATGTAAATGAAGCCTCATAAGAAATTAAACAGAAGGATGCTCTTGTTTTTCCACATAACCTATCCTAAATTGAGAGGGTTTGAGTTGCAGGTCTGGTTGTGCACAGCAGCAGACCTTGTGGCACCTCCAAGAACCTTACATGAAGATCCTTAACGGATGCCAGTATCTCCAGCACTAGGTAGAAGCAGCTGGTGGAGGACATCCTGAATCATTCTTGGGCTTGGACTGTTTCACCTAAATCATAGTTTATGTAGTTAGCATACAGGTCAAGGTCTCAGGATCTAAATTTATGGACTCTTTAGATCAGCCAAGGATTCATCTTCCTCTTTAACATTTCTAGTGATACATAAAAAAGGAATTCATGTGTGGAGGAGGAGAATCTCTACTGAAAGCTCTCCAGAAAAAGACACTGAGATTTGTAGCTGAAATAACCACTCTATGGGGTTTTTGCCTTGTGGTGGATTTTTTTGGTGGGTTTTTTTATTGTGGTTTTTGTTTTGTTTTGTGGTTTTTTGTTGTTTTTTTTTTGTTTATTTATACATATATATATATATACACACATATTCTTTTTCCTTCCTAGGCTAATTAAAAAATCAGTGTTCATAACTGATTATTCTAGTTTTCTTCAGTCATGATGTCCCCTGGGGCACCACAAAGGACCTTACAGAAGTTATGCAAAAACCTAACATAGTGACACGTGTGATGGCATTCACAGAAATAGTGATTATTATCTAATCTTCCTTTTTTTGTTTCTTTAAACTATACATTTTGATAATGAAAACAAAATTAGATGGCATTCAGGTACATACATCATACATTCCAACTCACGGACTGGTGGTCTGAAGGGTAGAGTAAACCTCATCATCCAGGAAAGGCAGCTCTTTCCCATCTCAGACCAAGTACAGAGTTTGCATTGGATCCTTGCTGCAGTCTCAAGTCATGGAAATACTTTGCATGATTAACTTTAGTAATGTTATGTTCTCATAAGCTGCTTAAATTTAGAATACTCTCAGTTGACACTAGTGCTAAAAGATGAGAAATGTTACTTGCTGTAGCGGCATGAGCTGTTGGGAGTGCTTCTGTATGCATGAATATTATAGTGAATAAGGTAAAATCTGATCCAAAAGGTTGTCAGATTTCTAGATTCTACAGTGTATGTTATTTCCTTCCTAAATGCTTTTATTGCAGCAATATTACTTTTCTGTTTCGTATTTTTTTGTACAGAATCATTTGATTTGGTTACTTTTATTAAAGTGGAAAATATTCTGCTATTTAATTTATTGTTTTAATAGAAAATTGTCAAGGAAACATGATGCTAATGCCTAAGCAATGTCCTATTGTATGTTTACTATTATCACGTTTTCTGTTTTTTCTGTGACTTTTAAATCTTTTTTCCCCCATTGTACAATTTTTTAGGCTGGATGAAGCAGCAGTGAAGGTGGAGGAGGGAAGGAGCACGCAGCACCACATGCCATGGGGTATGGAGAGTGTGCTGGCACTAACACAGCCATGACAGCTCATGTCTCCCCTGCCACTTCCCTGGCTGGTCCCGCGTGTGCTGCTGTGTGATCTCAAGGCTGCCTAATTTCCTCGTGATCATCATGTGTCATTCTGCTCCCTTTGATCCACCAGTGCTCTGAGCCTTGCTCTGACTTTGCCTCTCTCTGTTTTTACGAGCACTTCTTCAGATGTCACACTAAGGAGCAAAACTCTGTCTCCAAACAGTCATTAAGAGGACTGAAATATCCTACTTGAAGTATCTCTCAAGGCAGATTTCTCTAAAAGATAACCAAAATTAATTATCTAGACAATTATTGATACTAATGGGAAAGCTTATGACTTAAGCTTGCAAAACAACACCACCAGAGTTGTAGTTCCCTATAAAACAATTTATACATCTATTATGTGCATTACTTGTTTAGTTTTCTAGTAATGTGTGGGGTTTTTTTCCCTCTGCTTAGAAAATAATCTTTTAAATCCTAAAATTATAGTCTAAAATGTTTAAATGAAGGAACTCTTAAATAACTTGATAATGGATAATAAAATATTATTTACATGAAAATATTTTTCTGTGTACTTTTAAGATTAGTGCACAACGTACTTTATCATAATTCCTTAGCTGTATATATATTTCTTAATTATATTTAAAAGTATTGGAATATTTGTTATTCCCTCTCTCTGCACTGTGAAGTGCAGCAGGACCTTCCTGATGAATTTGTATTATACACTGAACGTTAAATGCTGTTTCAGTGTGAATGCACCTGACAACTTGCACCGAACATAACCATGTATGTACGTACTGAAGGGGCACTCTCTAGCTATCATTAAAACCAGTAAAGGTTACATTCAGTTTGCTTATCACCATGTTGTTTCAGAACACTGCACCATGGTGTCTGTCACCAGGTAATGTACACAGCAAATTCTGACACTAGAAAAAGAAAGAAAAAGCAACCAAAATTATTCACTCTTGCTTGAAAGTATCCTATAGCACACTTATTTGCAGTCAGGCGCTCATCTATATTCATTCAAATGGAAAACCTAAAAGTACATCATGACTACACGCAACAAAAATCCATTACATACAGGAACCAAAATGCTGTCAAAGCTTCTCCTGCATCATACAGATCCCGATTTTTTTTAACTCTGTAGTAAGTGTAACAGGCAGATTTGGCTGCTCTTAAGTTATCTGGACTGAAACTTTAATAGTCCACATTCTAGCTGATCTTTTCCCCTTTGAACATATGACTGGCCAGGCAGTCATATGTCTCAACTTTGCCTGAGAACTGAATTTGACTGAAAAGAACAAAAAGTAATTTCAAGGAACTTGAAGCACCATTTCCTGTTGTGCATCCAGACCCTCTGGGTTCTACCCCTCTTTTGCACTTAGGTCAGTTAAATCTACCTGGAGAACAGAGAAGAGGGTCAGGAATCCTGGTACAGTCTCACCTAAAGAAAGTCACATAATTCTCCAGACTGTAAGAATCTCCAGAGTTTTATGCCTCTAGGAATTCTTTGTGGGTTCAGTCCTCCTGACCCTGCCTAATGCCTTTTGAGGTGCCCTGGAGTATCCTGTTGGACCTTCCGCTGCTTTTCCAGGATGACACTGGTCTTCTGCACATCCTGGATCACACCAACCAGCCCCTTGAAGATGTCTGGGATTTCTTAGGGCATCCTGATTAGCACAAGACTTCTGTGTGTGGACAAATGAATTCAGCCTTAAACGTCTATTAAAAGACAGTGGTGGTCTAAGTAATTAGGCAGTGGAACCTAGAAATGACGGAACTCACCCCGAAGAAGACACCTAGTGGCTACTGCGCCACAGTGCTCCTCAAGCTCCAGCAACTGCATCTGCTGGGAATGAGATTCAGCCGCCTGAGCTTCTGGTGCCACCTGAGATGTCCTTGCACACCCTGCCTGGCCTCCAGCTCATGATGCAGAAGGGCATGGGTTTTCCATAGGTCTTGTGTCAGGCCCATCTAGGTGTCCTGGATACCATATGGCATCTCAAATGCCACTAGACAGCTTACATTTAAGCAAGTGAAGCCTTAGCTCTCTGAAATGTGAGCTTAGACATCTAGCACACACGTAGACACCTATATTTAGGTGTGGTAATCTCCCAAGAGTCTCAGCTATAACAGCCTCTAATATGAAGTAGAACAGAGTCCTTTCTAGTCATGAAGTTGGTGTCATCATTGTTGAAATACATCATCCAGGGAATACCAGACGTAAGACTTATTTGAAATGGCTTCAGTTCACATCTTGTAACAGAATTACATACTGTTGTGATAGGAATTTTGTTGTGATTTTCATTGTTTCTTGAAGATGCATACAGATCAGATGCATGCTATTTCAGTCCTTATTGTTGCTCTTGTTAGACTAGGAATGGTCAGAATTTTGCATGTCCATTCTTGTCTAAATGGTGATGTTACAAAGGAATAAAAATGGGTCTTTGCTGGCAAGGTTCAGATCAACCAAATCCTGGACTCATCGTTTTCCAAGATAACGGACACGTGTTGCTGTAGGATGAGGACATAAAACTCCTCTACCAAACCTGGCAAAGCAACTCCTGCCTTCACGATTTAACCTCTGGGTCTCCTGAATGGCACAGCCGCCTGGCAGGCGTTTGGGTCTTACAAGACGGGGTCTTGCCCGGGAAGAAGAGCCCCAGGGATTTGCCCCTTCCCAAGGAGAGGGAGGGGACGAGAGCCACCGTTCACCAGGCTGCCCCAAGCCCCCGCGCAAGAGCGGGGCCCAGCCCGGCCCCGTCACACAGCTCGGCTGCCCTGCCGACGGCTCCCGGCGCTCCACCGGGAGGAAGCAGAGCGGCCCGGAAGCGAGCCCTCTTCCGCTTCCTCTCCGCCCAGGAAGAGGTGGGCAGAGCTGCAGCCATGCAGGTCTCCAGCCTCAACGAGGTGAAGATCTACAGCCTCAGTGCCGGCAGGAGCCTCCCGGAGGTGAGAGAGCGATTGGGTGGGGAAGCCGAGCGGGCCAGGGTGGCCGTACTGCCGGACTGGCTCGGCCGCCGGTTCTTGGAGCAGGATCCTGTAAAAGCGTGGGGGGGCTGAGCTCCAACCCAGCGTCTCATCGGAGTGCCCCTTCTCTGTGTAGATTTGTGTCGAGGGTGGGGGTGGCTAACGAAAACCAGCCGTAAGTGGTTTTTAAATTAAAAATGCAGTTTGCGTGCATCTCTTAACTGTAGGTGTGTTATTCCACAGACCCTTAAAAGCCACGACTTTCCGAGTTTTCTTAACGTGAAAGACTTAAACTTAGCAGTGGAAGTTTTAAAATAATCAAGAGAAAAATATGTAATGGCCTGAATTGCTTGTATGTTCAAGTCGGTTGTTAGGTGATTCTATGGCTCCTTTCTTTGTAATGAGCTGAAGTCTGATTTATGTATTTTCTTACAGTGGCTCTCAGACAGGAAGAAAAGAGCTTTACAGAAGAAAGATGTGGGTGAGTTTTCCCATCACGGGGTCCTCAGAAGTACTCAGCTGCCATGCAAGCCCAGAGGGAGGCACTTACTAACTGATACAAGGAAGTGATGCGTAGCTCATATTTTTAAAACTGCAGAATTAAAGCCATAAGTAGTTATGGTTAGAAGGCCATACTTCAACACAGCTTTATATAAATAGAGTATTACCAATAATGCTTTAAATTTTGGGCATTAAATATTGGGGTTGTAGGTTATAAAGAAACGTGACAAATCACAGGTATAGCTTATGATAAAGTCCAACTAAACTTTCATGTGTATCATATTTCTCGTAGAGTGCTGGAACGTTGTGATTTTAGCCTTAACTTCTTATCCAAAATAAAATATGGCTATTGACATACCATAAGAAGTGTTGCTTAAAAACCTCAACCAATTAAAAATGCACAGAGTTAACAGAAAGGTGGAATATATTATACAACATCTTTCTTGTGTAAAATGTATGATAAAGACTTGCTACTACATTATATAATAATTTTTTAAATAGTTACTACCTCAGAATAGAAATTTATTTTGTGTGAGGGTAGCTTGCATTTCAGGGTTAACAGACTGTATTAATCCGCTTATAATATGCGTTAATTATACTTAAAAGATTTTATATTTTAAAGGATTTTTAAGTATATTACCTATAAAAATATTTTTTGACTTTATAGATATCCGTAGAAGAATTGAACTTATTCAAGACTTTGAAATGCCCACAGTTAGCACAAAGATTAAGGTATCAAGAGATGGACAGTATATTGTGGCAGTTGGTGAGTTAACAAAGTGTCTCTCTGTAGTAGAGGCCAAAAGTGCTGGAGAATCTTTATTGCAAAATGTCTTGATATTTCAGGTAGAATTGCTAAAGAGTTTATTTTTAAATGTAGCATTGAATAGAGTTTTGGAGGCTTACTCCTAAGATGTGATAAAGTGGCTGTCTTGAAACTGATACCGCGAAACACTTCTTGCTAGATCACAGATGTCAGAATCACAGAATGGTTTGGCATGGAGGAGACCTTTGAAGATCATCTAGTCACTGCCATGAAGGGTTTATAATACAGTTAAAAACTACATTCCTAGTTATTTTTTCTATGTGTACATGAATTTGCTTTAAATAACTTCTAAACATCATTGTTTGAATTTTGTTTTGAAGGAGGTGGAGAACGCTACATTTTGTAACTGTCAAAGCAGGATCCAAACATGAATATTTCTATAGGTGTTAATAGCGTAAGGAGGCTTGTTTTTTCAGTCTTACTGGAAGGTAATATTAAATCCTATGTGATGTATTCAGTAATCAAAGGAACCTATATATATGTAGGGTACTTTCAAGCACCAAAAGCAGAAATCAGGCTGTGAGGTTATGTTGTTAAGAGGCATGTTTTTCCAGTCACAGGGATTTTGGTGTTCGGAATGCCTGTAGTTGAAATGTTGTAAAGCCTGTATATGTAAGACATTGTATTAAAAAAAAAGGAAGCTTTTATGTTATCTTTTTGTTTAATTTTTAATGAAGATCGAATTGTCCTTTCAGGAACTTACAAGCCAAGGGTCCGCTGTTTTGACACCTATCAGTTATCCCAGAAATTTGAAAGATGCTTAGATTCTGAAGGTCAGTATAAGCTATGGCTGTTAGTACAAGATATCTTTCATATATAATTCGTATTGGACTCAAGTAGAAATTTGCCTCCCTGTGCTGAGGTGACAGAATGTACTTTGGGAGAACACACAAACCTAGAGTGAAACATCACCTTGTCTTTATCTCTGTTTTTCCCTTCTCCTTCTGGGAAATTCTTTGCTCTCTTGGAGTGGTATGAAGAGTGCAAGATTTACCTTAAGTGCAGGGCTGAGGACTGTGCCCTGTTTTGAGAAGGCTGTGTCGGTATGGTGGGTAGTGGCCAGGTCTCCCTTTCCTCGCCTGTGAAGCTGTAGGTAGGAGAATGCACTTGGTTGCATGCTCGTTGCTGAAATGAGTTCTCAGTGTTTTCTCTCTGAAGCCCAAGGTTGGTAGGTGAGTCATGGGGTAAAGAAAATTCCCTGAGAGTAGGTTGGTTTGTTTGGTTTTTTTGTTTGCTTTCTTGGAAACAAGGTGCTTAAGGATAGATGGCAGCATGGCCAAGGCCCCAATTACAACTTGTTTGCTACTAATTTGGAGGGAGAATGACTATGGTGGGGAAAGCAAGGAGCCATCTAGACAATGGGAAAGGGAGAATCTGCTGGCAGTTAGACTGGGGGAGGATGTCAGAGCTGGTGTGACTCTGAGTTTTAGGGTGCATAGAAGTAGGGAATATTGTTTGGTTTTGGTGTCTTTTTTGGTTTGTTTTTTTTTTTGTTAGAAGATTGGGATGTTTGAAGACTGATGGGTGAAAAATGGGATACAAGGGTGACCAAAACAATGATAGGATGAGCATAGAGTGGCAGAAGTCCTAAATCATTAAGCCTAAATCAATAAAACTATGATGTGTGTCAAAGCGATGTCAAAAATAAAAATTGAGAACTGCTGGATTAGGTAAGGAAAAGGGGAGTAGAGCACGGTGGCATTTCTTTACCCTGTGCCTCAGGACTACAAGGGGTCACGTAGGGTGAAGGGTCAGTGCTACAACTTAGTAAGAGGAGAGGTGGTAGGGGCAGGGGTTCAGAGAGGCTGGGGAGAGGAACGTATGACATGAGTGAGACCCGCTTTGAAAGAGTAGGATTCCCTGTAAAAGTAAGTGCTTGCTGGCAATTAGAGCTTAAAGTAAATGTTTAAAGAACTGGCACCTTACTAGACTGCAAAAGTATGTTTAATTTGAAATGCAGCATAGAGTCACTTCAGGTAACTTTAAATGAGCTACCTCATTTAAATGGAACCAATTTAGCTGAAGCAGTTACTCCCTAATGTTCCCAACCCTGCTCATTTAAAACTAGGCAAAGTTCAATACATTGCAGTGTTCAGCATGGATTGTAGCTTTTAAATTTGTGATTTTTTTTTTTTTGAGCCTTAAAACTTTTTCTGTAAAGTGCTGACCCCTTAGAAGGATCACATGTGCAGGTTTGTGCGTAGCATTTCTGAGTTCATGTCATTTTTTTTACCATCTTTGATGGATTACCAAAGGTCCCTGGACCACACACCTACTGAAAAGCATTTGATTAGACCTTCCCCGAGCCAGCAAATACACGGTTGAGCATTGTGTTGAGGAACATGTCAAGTATACAAGAACGATAAAAAGATTACAAGGTGCTTTGTATGTTCCTAAAGTTTCAGAAAACTACTTACTATTTTGCAAATAAAGTTGTATAATTAAAGATCTTATCACAATGCTTGCATTATGCATTGACACCTGTGGGGAATACTTGTATGACTAAAGGTTAGCATGAGTGTAAATGTTTTCAGGATTTATGCCAGTGTTTGCAAATAAGTTTGTGTACTTAGTTGACTTACAGTTGTCTTGCTCTCTCCTCCAGTGGTTACGTTTGAGATTTTATCAGATGATTACTCAAAGGTATGTTTAATGTTTTTAGCGTATAAATGAAAAAATTGTATAATATGTGTATTAAAATGCATTTTCATATATAGTAAAGGCAGTCAATCAACACAACTTTTGGGACAGAAAGGTTTTTTTAGAAAAGAAAACAAGATAAACATTTTTAAATACCGTCAAAATGTTTGTTTTCTTTGTCTCTTTGTATTATAATTTGCCTTACCACTTTTAAAGTCTTTTGTCTGTAGTAGAGAAAAACTTCAAATAATTATCTATCCTACAAACAAAGTAATGTGGAAAAAATGCATTAGTTAATCTTTCTAGGATAACATTTAGTTGCAATCCCTTGTGACAAGTGATACACAGATCATTTTTGAGAGATGGGATAGCTATAGGTAAGTTAATAGCCTGATTTGTCTGGGTTATTGTAGCCATGATGATTATAAGCATATGAATGAGGCAAAAATTGTGAGGAGAAGTAATGTCTTTTCAGAAAAAGGAAAAAAAAAATTAAAAAATGCTGTACCTGAAGGAAATGGCTGAGTTACTAGGACCATCAGCCCTTTTTCAGGTCCAGTACAGTTACAGCTTCTAATTCTGTTTGACACCTGGCTGTTATCTTCAGCTGCAGCAGTTGGTGTAATAAAAGGTGTTACCTCTTTCTGTAAACTCTGCTTAGTTTATTCATCAAGGTGTTATGTTCCAAATTAAATGTGACATTTAAGCATATAATTTTGCTGATTTCATTAGGACAAGCCTTTTTTTTTTTTAAGTTGTTTATGTTATTTATTTTTCCTGACAAGAGATTAGCATTTCCAGTATAGGTTTGTTTTAATAAATATTTCTGTTTGATCATAGGCATTATCATCTAGCCCCGTAGCTTTAGTCTTTTCCAAATTTTTCTCCTGTGATATTTCCAGAAACGTGTGTGAATTCAAGCAGCAGAAGCAGGCAACAGATACAGTACATTTACCTCTCACTTGTCTGTGGGAGGTGTCTGGCTGTACAGACCAAGCAGTTGTTTAGGAGACAGAGAAACACATTGTGTTTGCAAATGTGTTTCTGACTGGTTACAAACAGTAAGACTTGTGTGTGTTTTTCAGCAGTAGCAACTGAAATTGGTACTGTATTTCAGACTGAAGCTCTACTTTCACAACTTAATACAACCTTATTTTCAATTTTATTTTCCTGAAACTTACCTAATTGAATTTCAAGTAGCTGTCATAATGTTTTGAACATGTTAGAGGGAATAGTATTTGAGAAAGTACACTCGAAATGCTTAGAATGCTAAAAATACTGATTGGAAAGGGACCTTCAGACATCAGTTAATGATTGAACAGTACTGTCAATGTACAGGGGCAGCCTTGTATGTCTTGGTATCCCTCTTTATGCTCTCAACACCCCTCCTGGTTTGGGGAGTCCAACATTAGGCACACTGGCTCCTGTTTTAGTAGACCAGGGAGAACAATTTACCCCCATCTGCTCCCACTCTATCCTTGTAAGGTTTCCTTTTGAGGCTTATTTGAGTTTTCACAGTGGGAGCATGCTGTTGGCTTTCATTCATACTGGTATCCGTAAGGCCAGTTACGCTTCTGTGCTTTCCTAAGTTTTAGACTTAAAAAATTGTAAACTTTGTCTAACTTAGGAGAGAGTGATATCTTTTTTTCTCCACAGCCTTTTTGCAAAAAGATGTGTATTTCTCCTTAGTATTTTTGCCACAGGATAGTGGCTATGCTTTTGCTACCCTGAGGTTTCAGTTTTCTGTGTGTGTGTAATGACCAGAATTAGTTTAGTATGAAGTAGAGAAACATAGGATTTACAGTGAGTTGTATCCACTGCTAATGAAAGAGGACACAAATATCTTCAAGTCTAGTCCATAGAAATTTATTGGAAAATAGAAAATCATTAGAGGTGGGGCAGTCATAGCAGCATATTTGGTTGCTTTTGGCAACTGTCAAAAACTTTCTAAAATCTTTTTGGAGATAGAGTGGATGAGAAGAAAATTCACTTTCTTCATAGAAAGCAAACTGCATTATCTCTCTTCCTGGTGCTAGATTTTTGCTGGCTTACTGGTAGTGATCTAAGAGAATGTGACACTGATAGTTTTAAATTAAATACGGTTTAATTTTGTGTTCTCATAGTCTATTTAGGTTCTGTACTGCATGACGATGCAGACGTTTCTTCTTTTGCAGTGACAACAGAGAAAAGATTTGATCTGGGCATTGTTTCAGGCAGATAAGTAAAGAACTTTGCTTGTTGCAAACCTCCAGTTAAAAGCATAAATGCATTAGGCACACACAGGATTGATCAGGGTGTGTATGTAGAGCATCATTGTATAACAAACTATGTCTCATATGAAATTGTGGTTACACTTCTGAAAGGTGATACTCTGCTTGGCGTTGGACCAGGAGGAACGAGTCCACAAATAGGAGTTGAAACGTTATTGTTTCTGATACCAGGAAAAGCATAAGTGAGGGGGAAGTTAATGATAAATAAGGATGAAGTACTAGCCCAGGTCAGTAGTTTCTCTGTATCGTGTAAGGGAAGATATATACAGATACATAAATAAAGATAACAGATTGAAAATAACTTTTGTTCCTTGCCTTTCCTGAGCTTCTAATCCTTATTTGCATTTCTGACAATGTAGTCCAGCAGTAGGAAATGTAAAATCTCTGTTATCTGCTAGTTTTACAAGATGCAGGGGCTATACATATTCTAAATTAAACTTACATTTTTCTAATCTAAGCTAAGTTGGGATGAGGCTCAGTCAAGAGTTGGCCTGTGTTTATTTGTGTCATTTAATTATTTGCATATGTCATGAGTTTGGGCTAGGCCATCGGTTCCTCCATCACACAGTGGCTGGGCATGGTTTGAGCTGCAGTGTGAGTTTAATGGATGATGTGGATGATACTGGGAAGAATTCCTTCATATGGATACGAGTTGTGCCATGTTAAATTGTCATTAGGGCTACAGGGGCAGGTTCTGGCCTATTTTATTTACTAGTATAGATGTAGCCTTCTCGTAATGCCCCCCTGTGGGCTCTTCCAGGATTGAGATGTTTGTTTTGAAGTTTCAGAAAGAATGTGCTTATTGAGTTGGCAAACAACAAAAAATGCACTGAAGTTGTTGGTGTCATTTATTAGACGCTGCTATTCATCGGGATGCGTTGTACATGTTCGTACCTACAAACGTAGCGGTGTCTACACGGCATTGCACTTGGAGGACATGATTAACTGGTGTCTCAAGGAAGCAGAGATGTTAATTTTGGTGCAGCATAGCACTGAGATGACTATACTGTCTCTGGTTCTGGTCAGTTTCAGGGTATCGCATACAGTCTTCTGAATATACAGTTAATCTTTATTAATAAAACTCTTTGCTGTGGCTCGTGAGTGATGAAGCAGTAGCTGATTCTATAGTTTTAATAGAAATGGTTTAAATGAGTTATGATGAACCTGTGTGAGCTTGAGGAAGAAAAAAAATCACTGGAGTTTGTGCTCTAAGACAAGTTGAGGAGATTGTTGTCTGCTTCTGTATGATTCAGTGCTTTCCATTTTATTTTCAGATTGTCTTCTTGCAGTGTGGCAGGTTTGTGGAGTTCCATTCGCAACATGGCCATTACTACAAGACAAGAATACCAAAATTTGGTAGAGATTTCTCTTATCACTATCCATCATGTGACCTGTATTTTGTAGGAGCAAGGTACTGATTAAGTGGATTATTTTGTTTCACTTCCATTACCAATGTTTTCCAAGAATAAAATGAACATTAAAATACCAGAAAAAATTACAGATGTGGAAGAACTAGCATTTCCTTCCAAATTAATAATGGATATTGTGAATTGCAGTTCAGTGTGCTGTTTTAAAAAGTGATTAGCATCTAAGCAAAGAAAATTGAATAACTTTTTTCCTTGTTGATTTTGTTGCTGTTAAAGTGCGAGTCAAATCACATAAAATAATTGAGTTTGTAAGAAAGCATAGTAAAAATAAAATGAGGTCTTTAGGGCTTCAAACAGTAAGTAGCAATTCAAGATGTAATGTAAATCATTAATTAAAGGATCTTAAGGAAGGAAGTACTGCATCTCTTCCCTGGAGAAAGAGTAATTGGTAGGATATTGCAGTGTAATAAATATTTTTGGTGAACGTGCATGACTTTCCCTGTATTTTTACCACTGAAAGATAGATGTATCTTAGCATGTGAACTCCGAAAATTGTGTATTTGGTAAAATTAGGTTGTCAGCAAGGATCTTTATAACTCCTAACTTAAACGGTATTTTTCAGTATTTGTAAGATAAAAGAGTAATTTTGAATTTTTTTTTTCATTTTAGTTCTGAAGTATACAGGCTAAATCTGGAACAAGGAAGGTTTCTCAACTCTCTGCAAACTGATGCTTCGTAAGTGATCTGTAAAGTATGATGTCTGTCTTCTTTCCACCAGGTGGAAGCAGACTACTGGCATGCTCCCTGACAGTATCTGAATACTGCCCAAACGGATTGTAGAGTTGAAAAGGAACATATGCTGAGTCTGAGCCTCATTTTATTTTATGCTCTGTAATTATTTGTTCTAGTTCTTATGTTTTAATTGAGCTTTCTTTTGTGGATATTTTAAAATTGCTTAATATAGACTTGTAGTAGGTATTATATAACTTGATCTTAAGAGCATTTCATTAAAACTTTGCCATTATTGCTCAATTTAGCCATCATACAGAGATCTACCCACGGGGTATGTACTTTCCCAGGCATGTCTTTGTCCTTCTGCTCTTGGAGTAGCCCAGCGAGAGTTTCTTTATCTCTAGTGTGTGTCTGGTTCTTTTGAAAACCCTACCAGAACAGAAGCTGGGCTGCTGTTATGTGGGGAGTGGTGGATGAGAACAGACTTGACTAGGTGAAGCAGCTACTTGGTGGGCAACAGCTGGTGCTCAATGGGTAGGGTAGTTTAATGGACAAAGGAGTATTTGGGCAGGTGAAATTACAGAAACTGAGCAGTAGCAAAAAAACCAAAAAAGACAAAAAACAAAAAAACCCAAAAAACCACCAAACAAAAAAAAACAAACAAAAAAACCAAACAAAAAAACCCAAAAAACCACCAAACAAAAAAAAAACCCAAAACAAAAAAAACCTGGGAAAATCCTGGAGCGGAAGGGCACAGGGTATAGTGTAAAATCTGAGTTAAGGAGATGAGACTTGAAGTTGTGGATAAATCTCAGAATTGGATGTGGAGGGCTTTGAATGGGAAAAGCTGGAAGGCACTAGATGGGTGGTTTAAAGAGAAATATTTGCAGTCAGGAACATCTTTTGACATATAGTTTAAGCATATAGTGGAGCAGAGCAATACAGCAAGGCTTGGTGGTGGGTGTGGGTAGGGGAACACAGTCATTCAGGTTGGGAAGAACCTCATGGCCTAGACTCCTGCTCAAGGAGGAGGAGGAGGTCACACTGAATTTGGGTGAATTTTCCTAGGGGGTCTTGAAAATTCCAAGGATGGAATTTCACAGCCTCTATGGACAACTCGTTCCAGTGCTTAATTATCTGCATAGCGTAAAAATACTACCCTTACATACAGTTGGAACCTTACCTGTTTGAAGTTATCAGCGCTGTCTCTGATGACTCCAAATTCTTGGTTCCTTTTAAGCATGGGAAACTGCTGTTAGGTGGCCATCTGTCCTTCCCCCCAGCTTTTGCTTTTCCAGGCTGAGCAGTAGTGTACTTGATTATAGAAATATTTTCAATTGCTCACCTGTTAAACTATTTTGAGGTCATTAAACATGCTCCTTTTTTCTATTTTAGGGAGAGTAATGTCTGTGACATAAACCCTGTACACTTCTTGTTTGCCATGGGGACAGCTGAGGTAAATGTTTGCATTCGTTTTATGGAAAAGGGCAATAGTGTTTGGTTTTTTTTTTGTATTAGTTTGCATGAGGGTAAGAAGAAATCATGACAGGAGCCTAATTAATTAATTTGATCTCATTTGCTATATTAAGTATAGATCCATTAAACAAGATTACTTTTTAAAGCATAGTGCAAATGTAATTTCTGAGCTTCCTTGGTTGCTGAGATGCTTGAGATTTTGCAAATGACAGAGAAAATGTTATCTTGTTTTACAGTATAGCCATCTGTAGAAGTCAGCGTGTGTACTCTGTTAATCTTTGGAAATTTAGTGTTAATAATTTTCATTCACATCACATTAAAAAAAATATAAATGAAATGTGTGGAGCTTGTATGCCGTTATTAGAACAACTCATGTCAACCTAGGAAATTTGATGAATTATACATAGATTAAACAATTCATAATTTAATTTAAACATTTCAGAATACCAGACATCTGTTGCATAAGCTTGAAACATATTTTTCTAAACTGTTTAGGGTAAAGTAGAATGCTGGGATCCTAGAATGAGAAATCGCGTTGGACTGTTGGACTGTGCTTTAAGCAGTGTGACAGCAGACACAGAGTGAGTAAAGGCTGCCTTTTCCAAGTGTGTTTCTCTGTTTTTTTCAGAAGTTTTGCTTTTAGAAACAAATCTCACTTAGCATTAAAATGACCTGCCCATGGTTTTTATTCTTATTGCTTGTGTGACTAAAGGATTTTCATAGTTACAGAGTTTCTTAGTTATTGATCTGAGTAGTAGTGGCATATTTTCTATACTACCGCAAGTTGTGAATGTAAACAGTAGAGATCTTTTTTTAGGTGGTATTTGTGAGTAATATATCTGTAAATATATCTGTAATAATATCTGTAAATTAATTTACATTCATTATCTTAGATATTTTTAACACTGAAAAATTATTTGCGGCTTTTACTGAAGAATGTCTAACTAAAAACGTTGTGCTTTGCAGGATAGATGGTTTACCATCCATTTCAGCACTGAAATTTGATGGAGCTTTGAATATGGCGGTTGGAACATCTACTGGGCAGGTAGATTTAGCTTCCTCTACAACAGTTCTGAGGAGATCCTGCTTTTGCAATTGCCAGTCCAGGTCTATCATACGCTAAGTGCACTTACTGTAATGTAAAAATATGTTAATGAAAGTATTTGTGAGAGCATAAATTACATGTAGAGTAGTAGTCATTCATAAACTCCAAATTAATTTTGTCAAACAGTCTTGCTCTTCAGAATACTGTAGGGACCATTGAAAATCATCACAACCTACATACTATGTAACTTCCAATTCTGCAGTTTTCTCATGACTTAAGAGTCAGGTATGAGAGGAAGTTGCTGCTTTCTGAGACCGAGTGCCATCTCAATGCAACATACATGCTCTCCCTTATCTTGATGGTGGCTAACAAAGCAGAAGTGACTTTCAACTATTGTTTTTACTGTCTTATCTTTCTGTACGGGATCGTTTAGATGCATTTATTCATTGTTACCATCATATTTGTAACGTGGAATATAGAGACATTTTTCTGTCTTGATCAGTGTTTTAGTAGAGTTTAGAAAAGAGCAGATACGTATGTGAGAGTTGTATTTGTCATAATGTTGGTATACATGCCAGGCAATTTTTATTGGAGATTATATTTTTTATTAAACTGATAATATTTTTTTCCCTAAAAAGTTAATAGTATTCACACTTGGCATGTGAAAGTTTTAAGATCTTTCACAAGTTGCATAGAAAGCTTTGGAGGTAAAAATGCAGGAGGACAGGGACTGTACTCTCTCCTTAAAATAAAAAAATATGTTCTGTGATGCTTCACTGAGTGCAAGGGAGTCTGAAAATTTAAATATTATAAGAACAGTGTAAGAATCTCAAATTGAAATATTAGTAAAGAAAAAGTAAAAAGCCTTGAAAATAATTCATTTTTTTAATAGAAATGAAAAAGGCTTTAGAAAGATGGTGAGGTCTTAAATTTGCTCTTGATTTTTCTAGACTGAAGCATTCTGAGGTTAAAACGTATTGTCAGAAACTGGGCACACTTAATAAGCTCTCTTCAGAATTAAAAGTTATTTCTTTTATGTAAAGCCCGTCCATGTTTTTAAGTAAAAAATGTCTAGTTAAGTCTTTAGTGAAGATCTGGGGGGTGGTGTGTGTGACTTCCTATTGATCTTACAATATTGAAAGCTTAATCGCTCTCTTTTTCTTCAAGGTTTTATTATATGATCTCCGGTCTAGTAATCCATTAATAGTCAAAGATCACCACTATGGCCTGCCTATTAAATCAATTCAGTTTCAGTGTCAGTTGGATTTAATTATCTCTGCAGATTCTCGAATCATAAAGATGTGGAACAAAGATACGGTAAGTGTTTTTATGTTGTTGCATTCAGGGTTTTTTTTTAAATTTTTATTTTCTCCTTTCATGCAGGTTGAATAATAAAGCTGAAATTCAGTGTAGGAAATTGGGTTTTTAACGTGTCCTAATTTACACAGTATTTTGTCCTGTCTGACTAAATAAACCAGTATCTGAGGAGGTATTCAGCAGCTTGTCAGGTATAAAGATATAATCTTAGGTATTTTTTCGCTGTTTATACATTTCTGCCTATGATGCTTCTTTCAGTAGGAGCATTTAAACATAAAAGTAATTAGCCATTGCACTGGTTTGTGTATTTCTCACAGTGTGCTTGAGCACATCCAGTTACGATTTTTCATCAGAGAAAACACGGTCATCCCAGTTCCCTGCTCAATGCAGGGCTAGCTTCAAAGGTAGATCAGTTAGTTTATGACCTATTAAAATCAGGTACTGCTTGTTTTCACAGAAACCTGCTTGGATATTGAAGCGGATACTATACCTAGATACAAAAAACAATGTGTACTATGCTGTATTAATGGATTATGTTGCAATAGGCAGCATCTTTATCCCTGCCTTTTGCACCTCTAAGTGAAGTTGAAACCTCTTAAGTTTCGTAGACTATTTCATTATATTGTTCTTTTTCTTATCTTGCCTTCAATTTAGCTTGTACAGAACATGTTTATCCCATAAATTTGTAGTAATACTACTGTAGCTTGGTTTGGTTTGAGGGGCTGTCTTTATTAATTAAATTCCTTCTAAAAGCACGCTCCATCTATGCTTTTCTAGCTTTATAATGTAACATATCAATAGCAGTTATAGTAGTTTGGAGGCTTTTTTTTATTCTGACTAATTCAGGCAGTCATTTCTCTATTGTGCTTCTTTGTGAACTTTCAACAGCCTGTTCTGTTTTTTTTCTGTGATTACAAGCAGGTTTTTTGTAAGCTGCTCTGCAGTTACTTTTTGTTGTTTAAAAGAGTAGATAAATTATTGGTTATTATTTAAAACATCTGTAGTGGCCCCTCTCCATTTTTCCTAGGTATATATATTTCCCTCTCTGAGAATGAAGCACTGTAAGGTTTGTCAGGTGGCCTCTGCAGTGGGAAAAGGGAGGGTTTCTTTCTGCTGGAAGGCAAAGATGGCTTTGGATGCTTTCCTGGAGTGTGTTCCAGCTGGCTCCAGCTCTCCCAGATGTTGGTTCCTGACTATCTCTGGCTGGGAACCAACTGCAGAGGCAGACTGCGGGGTGGAGAGCATCTGGCTTTGATACCAGAATAGCCCCATGCTGAGACGTGCCTTGGGGTGGGGAGCAGGAGGCTTTTGTCTGCTAAGACCGGGGTGGGGGAGGCCTCTTATTAATCATCGGGGAGAGACCAGAGGTGGGTGAGGTAACAGCCTGTAACTGGGAGGGAAAGGAAGGGCCCAGAAAGGTAGGTGGGATCGCTGCAGGGAAAGAAAAAAGAGGAATAGCATCAAAATTTGCTCTGTTCCTGTCCCTCATTTATAACTGTAGGCATGTACTCTCATGCTTCAGATTCTGTGGCCCAGTTCTTGGAGACTCTTCCTTTACTGGCTGTCTTGCATGTTGGCTTGTAAGAGCACCTGTATTTTGTCTGGGTTTTTCAGACTGTTCCAATTAGTATTTTCTGTTGAGAATGTTGTTTCCTGCTTTCACCTTTTCTTAAATTACCCTTATAACTTCAATTCTGATCCAAGCTAGATATCAATGGAACCTTTTTCTGCTTTTATTTTATATTCATAGCTTTTTAATACAGAGTATATAAGTTACAGATAAAGTGCTGGGCTATATTTCATTTTATTTAGATGTGAACAGAGTGGAGGAACCAAGCTCCAGAATCAAGTTTCACTCCCAATCCATCATTTCAGCTAATGGTACTTACTAAAATAAAATTATTTAAAACTACCATATTCAGACTTGAACAAAACTACTGTGTCCAGCTCTGGGCTCCCTGGTCAAAAAAGACAAGGAACTATTGGAGGGGTTCCAGCAGAGGGCTATGAAGATGGTTAAGGGACTGGAGCATCTCCCATATGAGGAAAGGCTGAGAGAGCTGGGTCTGTTTAGCCTGGAGGAGACTGAGGGGGGATCTCATTAATGTTCATAAATATTTAAAGGACGGGTGTCAAGAGGATGGGGCCAGACTCTTTTCAGTGGTGCACAGCAACAGGACAAGGGGCAGTGGATACAAACTGGAAGATAAGAAGTTTCATCTGAACAAGAGCAAAAACTTCCTTTCTGAGGGTGAGAGAGCACTGGACCAGGCTGCCCAGAGAGGCTGTGGAGACTCCTCTGGAGATACTCAAAACCCACCTGGACACTGCCCTGTGCAACCTGCTGTAGGTGGTCTCCAGAGGTCCCTTCCAACTCCTACCATTCTATGAAAAGGAGAGTTATACTGGCAATATACCAGGAACTTATGGACCTCACTCCCCTCTTTTGCATAAAATAAATAAAATAAAGCAGATTTGACACACATTTTCAACACAGAAGTGTGAGCTGAGAAATTAGAAATGCCACTGTACATCGCTGTGTCTTCAATAACCAGTAGGCTACCCTTCCTTATAAGAGATTGGATCAGAGACAAAATACAATATTGAGTTCCTTGTATGATGTTCAGATACTTTAATAACAATTTATTGTTATGCTAAATCTGTTCCATCTTTATTCCATCATATTTCTTAGCTTCTATAATGGCTATTCTTAATGTTTAGATTTACTAAATTTAATTATATTCTTTGGAGTTCTTCATAATGTATTTTCTTCCTACAATTCCAGGGGAAGATATTTACTTCAATGGAGCCAGAATATGATATCAATGATGTCTGCCTGTATCCAAATTCAGGTACATTAGATATATTAATGTCTTAGTAACTTCAAAAGGGAAAGCTGGTGTTAATCCAAGCTGTGGTCTTTTTTTCTGTTTAAGTGATACGAATTAGGTCCACTTTCCTCCTTATGACAGAGCTAGGAAAAAATAGTTACTTGTCAGCTAGTGTCATCATTTCCTCTGCATCTGTATTAAATCGGAGCCTTGTTGCAGTTAGGAGCTGCTGTGCTGTCTGCTGAGTGACTGACCTCTTTTGCCCTTTCAGATATCTGAAGTGTTTAGTTTCGTAAGAATAGGAATTTTGGCCATGTGTCTCGGCTAAGTCTCAAATGAGTTAGAGCTTGCTTTCTAGAGCTAGGAAAAATCTCTTTACAGCAAGTTTATGAATGCTTTCTTTTACAAGTGTTTACAACTATTTGGTTGTTCCTCATTTTAGATATAGCACTTACTGTGCTCTCCGTAAGACTGAATACTTTGGTTTTAAGTGTAGATTCCTAAGTGCAGAGATTTGCATGCTTTTTGTGACTGTTTTCAAATTTGCTGTGTTTCATAATGTTATGTTTAGAAGTCAAAACTGAGGATCACTTTTAACCAAAGTTTCCAGATCCTACCTTATGAGTAAAGATATTTTACAGAACGGTGGTTGTATGTGCACACGGGCTTTGGTTGTTCCTCAGATTGCCACTGTCCTTAATTGTCCATGCTTGACCTGAGTTGGTTAGTTCTTAACTAGTATGTAACACCTACTTCCTTTTTAGAAAGCAGTACTGAAACAGATGAGATAAAAATTAAGGCCACTGGGATGGCACAGGACTAAATTCTTGATCCAGAGAATGCTGGTGTTGCAAACTCTGTCTTCATTTTAGAGAGAGGTAGCAGTGAAGACAGAGTGACCTGGACTTTGATTTATGCTAGCAGCTTAAATTCAAGATTGCAGATAAGCGAGTTTGAGATTTCTAACGAGTTAAAACTTATCTTGTCTTTTTCTGCCAACTTCATTTAAGAATGTTGTTTTTTTTTTCTTTTTGTAAGATGAACACTTAAATGCTGATCTGTACTGAGAGGATGGGCATTTTTGACCTTATGCAGCAGTAAAACTGTAATAGTCTGCAGGAGCTTGCTGATAAAAGTATTAGCTCACTTGCATGCTGCTCAGGTTTAGACCCTTCTGAAACAGGCTGGTGTTTCACTACTTAGAAATTGGGATGGGTTTTTCTTTACCCTTCAAAAAGGCATAAATACCGTTTTTATTTGTTCCATATATTAGTTTTTCCCAGATCAAAATGTCAGAAATAATGTAAGCAAAGAACTGAAGCCTGCCAGAGCAGGGTCTTTATGGCATGGCACTGAGGGTACATCCTGTGTGCCCTGGTTGTATATGTGAGTTCATCTGGGAGTATTTGAGAATAACAGTGGTAACAGGGCTGTGCAACATGATAGTAAAGAAACGTGGTCTTCTCTCATCTGTAGTGGCTTAAAGGCCATTGAAGTGAATTATCTTTAGCATTTCATCCAGGTTTCACCTTCAATTAGCTTATTGATTCAATCCAAAAGAGAAGCCAGGAGTGAATTAACATCTATGCAGCATTGATAATGAAGGGCTCATGACAGGGAGTGAAATAGAAGTAAGTTATTTGACAATGGAGAATCTTAGCGTAATTTAGGTTGGCAGGGACCTCTGGAGGTCGTATATTTCTTGCTTAAAGCAGTGCCAAACTTCAAGTTAGATCCAACTCCAAAATCTGATCATGTTGCTGAGGTCCGAACCAGTCAAATTTGAGTATCTACAAATGTGGACGTTACTCAACTATGGATGCTCTGTAGTCTCTGTGGTATGTAGACGTGCCTCAAGTGCTTTTGCAGAACTGATTTTCATGAGGCTCTGCAGGACACATCTTGTAGCGCAAAGAATTGAATGCACATATCTCCCTGATGGTGCTTATTGGATGTTGCTTTGTCACATGTTGGTAGTCTAAGTCTAGATCAGTGATCTAAATTGTGAATTCGAGTCCCATGTCTCCTCCTTAAGTCAGTTCTGCTTTTCTTACTCTTCTTTCTTCGACCATGTCTGCAGAGGGGCCGGTGGATGTCTTTTGGTAAGAGCTGTTGTGGGATGAAAACTAGGTGCTATTTTATAGTCATATGGAGACAAAGAGGGAAAACTAGAACATGTCGCAGTGACAATTATGAGACTTAAGGTAGGAGGTTGTGCATTGCATGTTTGCCATAATTACTGTTGCTCCAGAATTTGAAATTCTTAGTACCACCTCATGCTCCTGCAGAACTTAAAGAATAATAATGATTGAACATCTGAAAATAAGGAAATACTTTCAGTAATATGAGCTTGCATTTGTGGGAAGCTGAAAATACGGTATCATTCAAGTATTGGTATGGCTGTAACTCAGCGGTGCCACAGCGTTCTCAGAGCACTGCTGGATGTTCATGAAACCAGCACGGCACAGGAAACCCAAGAAATCTGTGCTTAGCTTTTGTTTTAACACTTCACTGCTGCTCAGCCCATACCCTCATCTCCCCCTTATGCTCTTATATTTGCTTAAAACAGCTTTATTTCACTTCAAATTCATGTCAGAATTCAAAATTTGTTTCATAAGAAACGTGTTTTGTTTCAAATTGAAGAGAAGAATTTCAGAAATGCCATGAACCAGAAGTCATTTAATCTACATTTAGAATGCTTTTGTTTAGGGAAAATTGATGTCTACTATGTCTAGATATTTTACTTTCCTGCTTTATATTTATAATTTTATTACAATAGGTTTTTTTTTAAAACCACAGAAGGTAGCTGCTACTTTGTGTTAGTTGCAGCCCTTTACATCAGAATGTCTGCTGCTTGTGCAGTAATGAAATAGTTATAACATGATATTGTCACAGTTACAAAAAAACTTATAAAAAATTAACTGGAAAAGTGAAACTACATTGTAACAGAACATTCTGAAATATTTATGGTAAACTGTGAATCGGTATAATGTGAATTATTCTTTTTCAATAGCTTTATGTGGGTTTCATTGTAGTTAGGGTTTTTTAAATTAAATTATATTACCAACCAGCTTCAGCATTATCACTTTTCACAGAAAGCAAACCCTTGAGTATCTTTGACTGAACTACATGAAGACAAACTCTAGTGGATCTCTTAAAACTGGTTATGAATCTCTTCTCAGATCACACACGCACAGAATGGGGCTAGGGGAAGGCAGGCTTGCCACTGACTGAGTAGCCTTGATTCAGCTTCAGTTAGGATGTCAAATATAAATAAAACATAGCAGAATCTGTATAGAAATCTGTGTCTCGTTTGTTTCAATTATTGGAAAAAAAAATTTTGAGTTAAAAATTCACATTTTCTAAAACTGCTTCTCCCATTTACTACTGTTTCATACTCATGTTTTCCCTCCTTTAAATTGGTGAGACTGTATTGCAGACCACTTTCTAAAGATGGTCTTATTAAAACTTCTTCTCTGAAAAGGAAATAGAGTTCTCATTTATTTCCCTTTTAAAGCGATCAGACCAGGCTGCTGTGTAGTTTGTTGAGGTGGGGTCCCTCTTACCATCAAAATTGGTTAAACTAACGAGCTGAAACAATGAAAGTGCATGGAGTAGACTTCTCCTTTCGCAGAGCTGTTCCTTTTTTCATTCTTTATTTCTCCAGTAGTATATGCCCATGTAGTTTTCCAAAGACTGTTTTTCCCTCCTTTAATTATTGGTAGAAGACTCTCACAGAGGAGGTTTTCCCTTAGCACCTGCAGAATTAATTTCTTTCCTTTTACCTCTAGTGATTCATATTCAGTCAATGGAGAAATGCTTTGTCTCCTCTGGTAGTAGTGAGTGTACTGACTTGTTAAGGGAGCATGTAACCTATACACTATAGTATGTACATGTAGGGCATTGTGTGTGTGAGCGTATATATATGTATATGCTACAGATTCTTGATTTTTTTCCTTAAACTGCCTGCAGACGTTTCCAGGTATGGTTTTTAGCCCCAGCTTGCTGACTAAGCTTTCCCAAATTTGCTTTGCCAGGAAAGCAAGCCCCCTTTTTTCTGACATTAAGTCCAGCTGCATTGTGTATTTTTAATAAAAGCGTTAGGTAGGAAGGATTACTCCACCCATGTTAATTGCGTTCCTCTAGTTGGGTGTAAATTGTATTTCTGCCTTCTGGGTATGTAGTAATTGACCCAATTATTCATAGTCTCAGTGGCATATATGTTACAGTGCTTTTAGATCAGAATGTTATCTAGCTTGATTGCTCTTTTCTTCTTCATATTCCATCTCTTCTCTTACCTGGTGATCAACTACGCTGGAAAGACAAAATTGAGATAAGGACGTTTGGCATATAATTTTATATTTATTCCTCTCTTACATAGAAGAAAATTCAGAGTATTTCTCATTTTGAACTTAGATGAAGTCTTGTGACAGCTGGAGATTTTCCATGGATTTTAATATTTGTACAGTAGTTTTTTATATTCAGAGTATTTGCAACCATTATCCGTGGTATTTCTTGGGTATATTCATAGATATTTCAAATTTTACATTTGCCCTAGTTGGCTAATATTACTGCATTTGAAGCCACAATATCCTGTCTCTCATTTTGTGTTGACAAGCTACTGTTGTCTTGATTTTCCAAGGTGAAATATGAAAAAAGGTGTAAACCATGTTGTGATTTATGACTTAATTTAGATTGTAGGTGTGTTTGAAAACACAGCAACACAAAAACCCCAGACCCCCTTAATAATGCAAGTTTATGCCTAAGGTAGGTTTTAAGTGCGATGCTAACTGGATTTGTACTAAACTGTATTATGGGATGAGCTGTTTACATTTGTTACGAAAACTGGCAGCCCGCAATTATCAGGACTTTGTGTTGCTTGAAGTGGTGCTGAACAGTTGTTAAGATAGAGGACGAAAGGGGATAAGTGTGTAGGAAACTAAGCTTTGTTAATGGTGCTGCTATCAGACCTTTTCTTTGCTCAGTATTTAATCCAGCAATTTTGGGGTCCCAATTAGCTGTTCCATTGCAGGCCAAGAACATGTTTTGTATGAGCTACAGCTAATGGGATTTGACCCTTGCTTCCCTAACCCATGAAGGGGTCT